TCGGTTCACGTCATGTACCTTGTGAAACGCAACAGTTTTATGCTGCTACTATACGCTGGTATTCCTTCCTAGTAGGATTTAGCTTTGACCTATTAAAGTTATAGCTGGAAAGTGGCTTCACCAATTGCTGCTCTTTTATACACAGCAATTGTGGAAGTATTTATAATCCCAGTCCGTCTGTTTGTCCAACTACATAAATTACGCACTACGCTACCGCGAACTACGCAAAAAGTTCGACTTATATTATTACTTATGTACTTTTGAACCGTCATGGCCTTTTATTTCATTCCACCATATTCTCCCAAAAGGAATAAAATGTATTTTATAGAATAAGGATGTCAAACAAACACCCAGTGCACCTGATGGTAAGTGGATACTGTGGCATAGAAACATTTAACCTCGATTAAGAATCAAAATGCAAATGCGTTGTCACCCGTGAGGACTGAGATGGAATGCCTCATTTCCAGTAAAAAGTGTCTCCGATTCTCTACACTCACCATACGAAATACAACAGCATAAGTCCGTTTAATAATTGAATTAAGTAGATTTAAACGAATTTTACGACTATATTTTTAATTTTACAACATATGGTTATTTTGAGATACGGCCACACACATGAAACTTGTTTATTAATTAATATTGCAGCATTATATTTTATTATTGCTATTATATTACCGTTCTAAAATTTGAAAACATCGAACAATCGATCTTTAATAATCGATGAGGTTAATTCCATATTTAATTTATTTAAATTACAAACTATAATTATAGCTGTGGGCATAAATCAAATAACATCTTATGAAACAAACTAAGGATAATAAATGTGTGAAATAAATTTTTACCATTAATTGAGTTTCATTGAAATCTTTAAATATAGTAGATGTTCAAAAGATTAATCGCCAAGTTTTACATTCGGTATAATCACAGTACTAGACGGTGGGCATTTAGGACTGCTTTCCGTTATCGGTCCGACTATTCATCTATCCATGCATCCATTAAAACATAAAAATCCACTGCTGAACGAAGGCGTCTTCCATAGAGTGCCTTATAGAGGATTTTGCAATATTGTAAATTGGCTATTCATGAAATAGCTGATTCTTATTTTACAAAAATGGGACGCAATGCGATGAAAGATTCTTTATTTTATTGAAAAATATTAGTAATTCTATCATTATCAATTCAACTAAGCCACAATGCCACAAAACACGGTCCTGAGCTAACAGCATCCATCGAGTCCCTACGTCATTTATCAGGCCACTCTCATCTAGCGAGGGGCCCTACACTACACCGGTACAACAATGTTACTTGATAACCTTTCTACCCCATCGATTGTCGTTTTACAAGATATAATTTTACTAATATTCCCTTTAAACTCACCAAGTATCTTTAAAATGCTTGTGTTGGGCGGTTTTCGGCAGTAGTCGAATGACGAGTTCGAACTCACTACTTTTAATTTATCGGTTCTCTCCCTCAACTATTAGGCTATTGTTGCTTTTGTAAATAAATGTAAATAAATCTTTATCATCATTATCATTACAAGTCCTCTCCAAGTACACCGCTCGACATAGGCCTCATAATGATCATAAATTATATGTGTGTCTTAATGGTCATAAATTTTCAATACTTACACCAAAAATATGCAATCGATATTCAACAGAAACATATGGAGGTGACACTTTAAGGGAACCTGTCACATGTCGTCCCATGGGTGTTATAAAGGGTGAGAAATGCTTCAAATATGGGAATTCAATCGGAATTAATAACATATTACTACATATATATACGAGTATGTTATAATTATTCTTACGCTAATTCCAACTAATTCTTACTCTTTACGCTAAGCGTAAAATACCAAGACCAGTGACGGGGATCAAATGCAAGACCGCTCATCCGCCTCCGTCTGCCAAGTGTACCGATTAGATCAGTATTCACATCTTCTCTACAACGAAAAGGGCTTTGACCAGCAAAAATGGAGTTAAACATGGATTGATATTATATATTACCATAAATATATTATGTTATTTGTCAAGTGAACGTCATTGTCAACAGTTTAAGATGTAAACTGTAAAATAAATATTCAAGTTGACGTGGTAGAGTCACGCTGCAGATATATTAGTAATATATTAAAGCACGAATGGATCGGTTCGACGGAGCACACTCTCACAGAAAACCAGCGTAAAATAGCAGCTCAACGCTGTTGTGTTTCGCATGCTGAGTGTAGAGAACCGGCGACCTATTTTGCTGAAAACTACGCGTTCCATCTAAGTCCTTACGGGTGACAAGGCATTTGCATTTTGATTCGTAATTGAGGATAGATGTAGATGTCTACGGGCTTCAGCAACTACTTACCATCAGTTAGACTGTGTGCTCGTTTGTCACCCTTATTTTATTACGAAAAAGTCAATTTTAAAATTTCTGTTTTTATATATATATAATACACTAGCCAGTACTATTGATATTTCTAATACTGTGCTACGAGTATACTGGTGGTTTACGAGAGTAATCGAATGGCGAATTTTAAACCCACAACGTTATAGTTTTCGGTTCGATATATATAATAGTAGAGTATTACAATAATGCCGCTTCGAAAAGAGCTTATGACTCAAAACAATTGATATAAAAGACTAAGAAGCTTGACTCTTTTTGTATTTAAAAAAATAAAAATTAATAACCAAAATTTGCAACAGTTTTCGAGTACGTACAACACAGGAGTAACGAGAGTAGGTTTGTTTAATCAGTAAAAAAGCACGTACGAAAAAAAAAATTAACGAACTCGACTCACGGAACGGAATAGAACAGACAAACGTAGGACGATGCGACACAGTATGACATGACATTCAATTTAAACTCGGACGACGGAGCATGCGTTCAATAATTAACATAATGTTCTTTTACTCCTTTTTGCTTCCCGTTTGACACTCCATCACTCATGGAAATTCCATTTTCAATGCTGCTATACGAGGGGTGGGGCGCGGGGGTGGCCTTTGCATGCGCGCAATGGACATGGCGGTTTTGGGGGCGAGGGGTGGTCAAAAAAAAGATTGTTAAAAAGGCATGCCCCCACCGCGGCGGTGTGTGAGTGCGTGCGGGTAAAAAAGCTCTCACTAATCGATACTATAGATTCTGAGGCAAGTAGGCTGCGCGGGTACCACGCCGATTGGTCGGCGGCTGATCGTTTCGGATTTTTTTCGGGGGTCTCTAACGAAGCGGTGGATGTTTGGTCTTTCGGCGCAATCGCGGGCCTTTTGAGTTGCATGCTGGAAGTTGTGTTAGGTCTTTTTAGATTGCGCTGCTTACCCGACTAACTCGACGGTCAACACTTGAGAATAAAGCGTACTTATTCACACTTAACTTTGTCCTCTTTGTTATGTTTTAATCTTTTGCAAGCGTGTGTTCTACGAAACTCCGATACATAAACACTTTGGTCGATTAGTTTTGAATCTCTACTTCCGAAAATTTTGTTTGTAAATTAAGAGTATACTACATCGGGAAATAAAAATAATTAATTAAACGCGATAAAATCCGTCTGTGGTTTCATTTAAGAGTAAACTAACTAAAACTTCCTATTTTCTCATATTTAATATTAAATTTACAATCAAACGCTTCGAAGGACATTTCTCTTAGAATAACTAACGAATATAGGTGCAGAATAGGTAATCTAACATGTTTTGTGTTTTTGTATTTCACCCGATAGCTATCATAAGCTTAAACTTAGAAATAAACATGTCATCCAGCACAATATATTTTTGTTAAAGATTTTTATGCATGCAATAAAGAATTGCAAATCAGACTTATATAATTTTTGTAAAGTTTATTATAGTATTATCCAAACACAATAGACTACTCATTATACATAATATAATAATTGTATACACCGACACCGACGGCCTCTTATGAAGGCAAGAGGGATGAAGCACACCAAGGTGCTCTAGTTAGGGCAGGCAGGTTAAGTGCTGTAATAAACGCTTTGAGTAAAGTGTTTTAAAATAACTTTTTTAATTTATTTTAATAAACTATTTTTTCTAAGAAAATTACATAATATACGACATGTAATAAAATTAGTTTTTAATAACCGGCCTGTGACTAATATAACGAAACGGAACATATATAAAATCACCTCGACGTCTATTGTCTAAGTGTTTCTCGAAGATGATTTTTTGTAGGTATGCAGTTTCTTAAATAAGTTAAGTGATCGTACTTCATCGGACCTTAATTTTATTGAAATTGTAATGACGACGAATGTTTTTGTCGCATAGACTTATTTCACGTCATTGATTTTTTTCTGTGAATTGAATTCAGAAATACAAAAGACGCGATCGGCGAATGCAACTAATCCTATAAAATTGAAATAAGTATCGAATTGAACCTGTAAAATTCCAGGTTTTCAGTATATTTTCTTGATCATCATCGTGTTAAAGGCTTCTGCTGAATATGGGCATATACTTGATAGACGTATTGCCGTAGTCGAATTAAAAAAAAATTGTGGCAATGGCTACAAGCCCTTCAGCCAAAGATACAATCAAACGTTGAAACCCATTTTAGGAAATAGAAATATGATTATAAATAATATGTTAATATGACATATATAATATGTATAAAATTTTAAATTGAAATTGTGCTTTTGCCGCGTTCTCATCTATAAGAACTAAGACGTTACCCTTGTGTGTTTTGCTAATATCTATTTATTTGATTGCATTTAAAAGTGTACTAAAACTATTATTAGAATTTTTTGACAAAAATATACGATTTGATGATTATAATTGACGATTTCAACAAACAGCAAAATTCAATTAGAAATTTTGTTAGTCAAAAATTCAATGCTTTTAAATAAAATTCCTTAGGTTTAAATATACTTAAATATTGTTATTGAAGCCTTCTTTATTAGTCTTATTCATTAAAATTGGAACGTATATTTTTTTTCGATATTATATCTATACGTATACAATCTTTCGATATTATATCAATATAAATGTTCTTTCGATATATAATGTCCAACTCACCTCATTCTTGAGATTGATGGGCTCCTGCTGCGGCCGGGGCGGCGAGTGCCGTCCCACCTCCGAGCCCTCCAGCATATCAGCCTCGCATCCCGACTCGTCTGGGGACAAATAATTATTTTTTAGATTATTTCAATTATATTTGGTTAATGACATAACAAACCAACTGATCGTAGTGGCTAAATGGATTACTGCAACTAACTTCAAGCAAAGATAGCCACAGATGTGTCGTCGTTTCTGAGGGCAAAGATGGAATGCCTTACAGCAAATAATATTGCACTGTAGTATACTTGTTCTTTTACTTTTCCAATTGAAACATAGAAACGTTGCTTGACGGCAGAAATAGATTATCGAATATCTCAACTCGGATGGGATCGTAGACTAGAAAGGAGCCTATCACGTAGTAAAACTTGATTACAAAATATTCTATTATATCAATCAAGGTCAAAATAAGTTGTTCTCCAAAGATGGATATGGTATAATATGATATCTATCTGGATTTTGATTCTAATATATGCCAGCCGTGGGACTATAATATTAGAGTTTTTGATTTCTTTTGTATAAATTAAGATGTAAATATTCAGAATTTCTTCTTTTACTATTGTTTTATTCATTTTTTATTAACTAATTAAAAGCAAATAGCAGTTTTTTTTTAGTTGTTGTCTGGAAGATGCTGTTGCTCGTCTCCTCTTTAATTTTCCCTCTGTCGCCTTAAAAACAATGCCCAATAACTGCTCGGCATGTATGCTACGCAATATCTTTGTCAGTTATGAATCAATTGGAATTATTCTTTTTTATTAAATAGATTAAACTTTTGGGGTAATAATAATAATGTCCTTCAAACTGAATTTCAGTCACGGCGCCCTGCCTCAACGGAGGCTAGCCATCGGCGCAGGACAGGATTATAGTGCCCAAGTGTATGCGCAAGCACAGGTGCACTCTCTATTCCCTCACGTTTATAATCAGATGGGACAGTAAACCGACACGACCGGAGAGAGATCAAACGCAGGACCAACGGCTTTACGTGCTTTCCGAGGCACGGGGGTGAGACACCGCCGACTTCCAGGAGAATTTCTTGACGGAAAAACTCAATAATTATTTTTTGGCCCGACCCGGCATTCGAACCAAGGACCTTATAATCAGCAGTCGTACTACTACAACCACTAGACCAACGAGGCAGTCAACTTTTGGGGTATTCCCTTATGAATTAAGAGGATAAATCCTGCCCCTAAGAGTGTAAAACTAGGGAATTAAATGTTTAATGTATCTATTTAGATGCCATTCCAGTTGTTACTTTATGATTGTGATATATATCTCTGAGTATTCTCAAACGGCTAATAAATTAAACTTAGATTATACTTAAATTAAAACAAAGAACTAAAAAGAGTACATAGTCTACATAATAGCTTCTGAAGTCGTTTTCGAAGTCGACTTCAGAAGGTATAATGTGTATATTGTTTTACTCTTTAATAACTGTTAAATTTCTAGATTCTAGAAAACGTTTTTGTTATCTAGACAAATAAAACATTTCTTTAAAAAAAACAATTTACAATACTACACTTTAAAAGGTTAAGTACCTACTATAATAAACAATAATTCTACCTACGTACTCCGTCACACGACGTGAATCGTATCACGAGAGTAGAGCGCTCTCGGAAAGAAATGGCGGTGCCTGACCTGCCCCAACGTGTTTGGAACAAATAGGTCAAGAATTGCGTCTGGTGGAATTTAGAAGGAAAACTCCCGGCGTTATTTACCTGGGGGTTGTTCGCGTTATCGAGAGGGGATCGCGGCGCGCTCGTTCCGACTCGCGTCAAAAGGTCTTACGGAGGAATCCGTCGAGTTAAGCTCCGACAAGTCACGGTTGAATATACATTTCAACAAACCGGAATGCTGTTTATTGCGTTATTTTCGTAATTGAATATTTCATTCGATATCTTTTTTGCGGCCTAATTTTGCAATAACTTTTGATATTTGCAAAGTAAATATTGTGTATACGTTGAACACACAATTTGACGATAATTAGGTCGTTATTTTTATAAAAATATTATAAAATTACAAAAAAGGTCAATCACATGTTGACACTCGCGTAAATTAGGGTACAATGGCATAGTATATATAATATTTTATAAATAAACCAGATTCATGTTTTAATTAAAGATGCATTATTAAAAATAAAGTGGAAGCAACGCATAGCAAGTTACCTTAAACCTGGATATTTCATAAATAGTAAATTCAATTACAATCAGTGCTTTGTGAAAAACTTATTATTCTACCATGATTCGCATTATCATGAACATCATCTGCATTGCAGCCCATCACCAGTCCTGCTGAACAAAGGCTTCCGCCAAATAAGTAGCAAAGCACGATCCAGAGCCACCTACGTTCATCGATTTCCTGAATCTTTTACCAGGTCGTCGCTCCATTTAGTGGGGCGCCCAATATTTTGCTTAATAGTACGAGGTTGCCACTCGATAACTTTTCTTCCCCATCAGTTGTCGGTTCTTTTAGCTACATGGCCGGCCCAATGTCACTTCAGCATATGTTATATTATATTAAAGTATATATTATAGTATATATTTTATTAAATTATAATTGAGACCTATATTAAAAAAATCACCCCAACAAAGATGTCAAAATTCTAGAAGTAGAAGAACAAAAGTACTGCACGATATTATGTAGTAAAAAGTAAGAACCTTTTATGACATCAGCATCTTTAAATTAACATTATTTCCAATGAACAGATCACATTACTGAGAAGAAATTGACAATGAATCTAAACACGTGTTACATCATTAATAACACACGATATTGGTGTGTCTTCTAAATATACATTTAATTACAAAAGGAATAGAGTCGTATTGCTTTTGAATATTCTAAATAACCAAAATACACGATATTAGTAAGGCGGAAGCACCTAACACACGTCCTATCTCCGCACTTAAATTTTCTCAACAATATTAACACAAAGCATTACGTACAATGCTGCCAATACAATAATGGTGAGGTGTATATCTCTTCCTTTATTTGCATTAAATAAATTGATACCACATTATCCGCGCGTATTACTGTAGTGAAGTTAGAATAAACCTATACTATTTCAGAAAATGTTTATTGTTTATTGAGAAACACCGAGCGCCGAAGCGATTCCGAAATTCTACGAATCGTATTAGACGTATGGATGAGCAGAATATTTCATATTTATTTCTATACTAAACTGTTTTCAAGGAAATTAACTCTGTGGAGATATGTACTCAAATATAATAGTACTTAATGCATATGAACATGGCTTGTAGGCACTTACGAGTATTATGTGATTTATTGTTGTTTAAGAGCTTTATTAGAAAGAATGTTGTATTCACTTATAACATACACTTACATATCTATAACTAAATATAAATTTGATTTGGACTGATCACACAGGCCTCCTTTATTTATTAACGATATATTAACAAATTAAATTTAAAAAAATTAGACATATACAGGATTACAGGTTAAGTCGGCCTAGAACCTTTAGGGGGTTGTAGCTTCCATCATTACCGAGTATTTCGATTTATTGAAAACGGGCCAAATTAGGAGTACCCTTAACCGACGAGCATGTATGCGTAGGTGTATGGATGTGAAGGAGACGAGAGAGGTGTGTCAGGATCGTGCCAAATGGAAGTCTGTAGTCTCTGCCTACCCCTCTGGGTGACAGGCGTGAGTGTTTATGTTATGTTATGTTAAAAAATCATTTAAGTTCGTCTTTCATTTTTTAATATGTAACCCATTTTTTATTATCTATCTTTGTTAAAAAAAGCTTTTATCCTACAAGGATTTGTCAGCCTTATCGTAACATCCTTGTTCCTGTTACACAAATTATAAGTAGGCATTTAGAAAGGGGTGTGGCCGTAGAAAACGGGGAGATCTCCCGCCGGGCAAGGTGTTCTGCCCGGGGAGCGGCCAACACTCCGTGTGATAGTTCGGGGATGTTCTATATATACTGTTTATGATTCGAAATTTTGATAGCGTGATTTAGGCGTCGCCGACAGCGCCGCCACATCACCCCCTGCTCAGACCGGAGGTCGATAGTGCAGCCTCGTTTCCGGCGAATGTGCAAGTGCCAGGAGATTGCCTTGTAGTCCGCGGTGAGTCGAGAAGAAGGCAAGTAATCTGCGAGAGTGCCGTGAAGCAGAGGCGAGCAGTAAGACTCAGAGCCGTGCCGAACACTGTTGCGCAGAGAGTAGCTTGAAGGAACAGGAAGCATTATTATTCCAGTGCTGCGATGAACCTTGTGAAGCTAGATGGCTTGCAGGATATGAAGACTGCAGACGATATCTGCTCGGGAGCGAATGGGTTGGGTACTCTATGACAATGATGAAGCTTGAAGTTTCCGAAGGTAGTTAGTCGCGTGTTCAGATCACGTTGGGTAGTCACCACTGTGGCCGTGGAAGGAAAAGGGGAGATTTCCCGCCGGGCAAGGTGTTGTGCCCGGGGAGCGGCCAACGCTCCGTGTGATAGTTCGGATATGTTCTATATGTACTGTTTATGATTCGGAATTTTGATAGCGTGATTTAGGCTTCGGTATGTTTCGCTTGCGGCGCGACGACAGCGCCGCCACAGGGGGAATCAATGTGATAAGAATATGGAAATTAATGATTTTGCTACCGCCGTGTGTGGCTCCGCGACTATACTCAAAAACAAATGTTGACCCATGTAAAAAAATTAGAAAACTTTCTTAATTATAACAAATAATAATATATGATAACATTGGTGTGATTCCATGAATAAATAAGTTATCGATAGATTATAAAATCTATTCAGCTTGGATTCGAAAAAGTAACAAACCTAAAATCATTTAAAGTCAAGTGTCCTACAAACGACACGGGGATAAGCAAGTCGATCTTAACAAAAGCAAATAGAACGGTTGTCCACCGTTACCACTCCAATCAACTCGAATGTGAGGCAAACAAAAGTGAACCTTATCGACCTTACAAAGTAAGACACCACCAATCATTGTTCTGCAAATAGCCCCGGCCGGCCTAAGCAACACGAACTGATGCCAAAACGTAGCAGCCGTCGAATATGATTGCTCCTAA